GCTTATGGTTTTTCCCAAATGGTTAACCACATCATTTTTAGAACAATCCCTCCTTCCTTCATTGGCCTAAGCTACACTATACTATGGTCTGCTTCAGGAATTTCCATCTCCTATGCAGTCTCCCTCCCAATTTGCTACTAATGACACCAACTTCAACTCTCCTTTTGCATTCCTTCCTAGAGAAAATGCATTCCATGAAGCATTAGTGACCAGTGTTATTTGACTAAGTATTTGGTAGGAGAGTCAGAGGAATTCTGTACCAAAGTCCAAATACCTCACATATGAAAGTACATGGACTCAACAGCCCCTAGTCTCACTTGGTCTGAGTTGTCTACTTAAGGTCCTCACCGGCTCTATGCTTGCCCACACGAGTCTGAGTCCCAGTAGGACTTTCAAATACTTGTTTCATAATCAAAGGTCAGTTCTCCAGTTCTCTGCCCCCACTCAAGCTTCATACGCCCTCTTGCCCAAAGGCCTTGGTGGTCAAGAAATATAGATCTGTGAAGGCAAGAGGGGCAGTCTCATGTTGCCCTCACTTGCATTCTTGAGAGATTACTGTCTCTGGAGTCATGCTCTCCCACCATGGCCATGACAACTGGACCTTCTGACTTCCAGCAGGCCTTTAGGCTCACAGCAGCCCACTTATTGGTAGCTCCACATGTGTCTGCACAGACAGGATATGACTGTTGCATTTGAAAGCTTGATGTTATGACCACTCTAGACCAGATTTGAGGCAGGCATTGCCCTATCTCCAAATGAACAGTGAACCTCCCTCTTTCCTGAGCTACCATCATTTCAAGTATCACTCTTCGCAAAATTTTTCCAAGTTACTATGTTTCCTCCTAAAATTTCGGTGAGCTAAGTAGTGACGATCTTTAATTTACAGGAGGAATAAAATCACAAGTTATACAACTAAAATTTAGAAATGGTGCAACTAGATGAGAAGTTTAACTCACGAGCCTGGTGCTAGCCAGTTTAATTTTTCCCCCCCATGAAACGTGTATCATTCTCCCTTGACCTGCTCCACTCCCCCATTTTCTTCTCCTACAATAAAGTCCTTCGTTCACTATTTTTCCAGGTCAAACTCTGGGCTCTCTGCCCTCTAGTTTCCACCTTCTCCAAGCTTATTTTTCAATTAGTCTTTCTTACAGTCTAAGAGTGGGGCTGGAGTTGAACTTGAAAAGAGACAAGGTCACAGCCACTTGAAAGGAAGGGGCAAGTGCCCTGAGCTTTGCAGAGTAACCTGAACTTTTTGCATTTTTAAGTAGAGAAAGAGGTCAAACAGCCCTGCCAAACCTGAAGAGTTGGCCAATGGCCTTGTTCTAAGAGCCTTAGGGCTGCTGGGTGCAGAAGGGAGCTTTGGGGGAATGGGGTTAGTAAGGAGCTTGGTAGAGTGAAAATAGTGAATTTTCATATTCACTAGCACTCAACAGTTTACAGCATTTGTTAATGATTTCTGAATATTTGCATCTGTAACTATCCTTTTAAAATTCACAGTGAATGTAGTTATTTGTGTTGCCTTATTTTTAAAAAATTAGGTTTATGAGAGATTCTGCTTTCTAATTGGTTTTCGTTTTCCCAAAGAAATCGCTCCTAGATGGATTTCTCTGTTCTGGCCAGTTTTGTTTCCTAATTAATTAGTTTCTACCTTTGTTTTTATGATTTTGATCTTGATTTGGATTTAATTAGGGCGAATTTTGTTTAAATTCCTATCACTAAATGTTAACACATCATTAGTCTTTATTTAGTAATAAAACACTATTAAATGGCAGCATTCCATTGGTATTGACAGGTTGTATCTGCTAAATAATTTGCAATAGTTATTTCCATTTTTTTTTTAAGATGGAGGGAGAAGTGTTTTCTGATCTTGAATTGGTAGATGTTAGGAGTCAAGATGGAATTTCTGTGACACTTGTTAATAATGGCTAAGGATGGGAAGGCAGAAATGCATAAGTCATCCTCATCTAGTCACCCTATAATTTGCCCTACAGGTTTCTGCAGATCTGTATATGAGAAACTTTAATCAAATGGGACTCAAAGTTATCATTTATTCATAGCTGAGCCAATTTATAATCATGGTTAGTGAGACACTCTGGGGAAGCTAGACCAGGGCCTAGAATTTGAGGTCATGTCTAAACAGAGGCTCTGCTCTAAATCTTGGGACCAAATAGTCATACATCATACAGTAAGAGCTGGCTGGGCTCTAAGAGATTGTCTGATTATCACCAGGTGGCATCATGAGTCCCCAGCACACAGAGCTGCAAAAGAAAGGCCAAGTGAGCAGGGCAGCTATCAGACCATCTGGCTTGAGAGAAGAGTGTGAGGCAGGTGCAGGGTAGGCAGGGAAGCCTGTCGCATGGGGAGGGCGGAGCCAATAAGAGTTCCCCTTCCTTAATAGGACAGGTTTTATCTTTTATGATTAGTGTCTGCTTATGCTTTGTGGTCTGAAAATATGATCTGAGAAAGTTCTATGTTTCAGAACTTATTAAAGTTTTTGTTGTTTTGGGGGTGTTTTGCTGTGACTATCATAAAAGAAATGATATTTACATATATTTAACACATTTATTAATTCAAGATTATATGGAATATTTAAAAGTTTTACAAAGTTTTTGGTTTTTTTTTCAAAAAAATCTTATTTCAATTATATTTTTCCTTTCTTCCTTCCTTCTTCCTTTCCCTTCTGCTCCTTTCCCCCCCCTCAATTCTGTCTCTTTTTTCCATATAAACTATATTTTCTCCCCATCCAATTTGGAGAGCACATGTCTTCTTTCCAATTCCACTAAGTTACATTTCCTTAAAAAATGGAATATGTCAATAATCAATTTTAACAAAATTAACATTAATTATTTCCCATGTAATATAACAGTCTTCTCGCCTACATTTTGATCTTTAAAAATATAATAAGAGGACCCAGACCCAGATAATTGTCATTATATCTTTACATAGTACAAATGTAAATATATATAATTATTATATGTATTATTTTATAATTTTTCATACTTATGCCAGGTTTTTTTTTTTTTTGTTTTTGTTTTGTATTTTTGGTACTGGGATTGAATACCCAGGAGCACTTTCTACTGAGTTACATCCTCAGTCCTTTTTATTTTTTGAGACAGAGTCTTGCCAAATTGCTAAGGTTTTTTTCTAAATTACTGAGTCTGGCTTCACACTTGCAATCCTTCTGCCTCAGCCTTCTCTAGTTGCTGGGATTACAGACACGTGCCACTATGCTGGCTCTTATATCAGTTTTATTAGTTCCTTCTTCAAATAATAGAGAAGTTCTAGGAGTTACAAGAAGATTAACTAATTTTAGCTCCAGCCAAGAGGGATATGTGACTTACATCTTTTAAAATTTATTGAAACTTTTATTGTCCAGAATATGGTCTGATTTAGTAAATGTGTTATTTGCACTTGAAAGGATGTGGGTCTACTGTGGTGAGAGGGCATGTTCTATGACTTTTAATTAGGACAAATTGGTTGCTAGTATTCAAGTCTTCTATATTTTCTCTAACTATAATTGTAGATTTGTCTATTTCTCATTCTAGTCTGATCAGTTTTTGCTTCACATGTTTAGAATTTTTATGTCCTCTTTGTAAATTAACCCCTTTATCGTTATAAAATAATGATGGAATTGTTATTATGATAATATTTTTTGTTCTGAAATCTACTTTACTTCATATTAATATAGCCATTCCAGCTTCCTTTGGTTAGTTCTAGACTGGTACATTTTTTCCTGCTTTTTTACTTTAAACCTATTTGTGTCTTTATATTTAAACCATATATATTTGGGTCTTACTTTTTTCTTTTACCAATCTGGCAATCTATTACTTTAAATTGGAATGTTTAGGCCATTTACATTTAACGTAACCAAGGATATAGATGGGTTTACACATACCATCTTGCTATTTGTTTTCCATGAGCCCCATCTGTTCTTCAGTCTCTTTTCCTGCCTCCTGTTGGAATAATTGAGTTGTTGTTGTTGAGTTTTTGTTTTTTTTTCCCCCCCCCGAACTGGGGATTGAAATCAGGGACACTCAGCCACTGAGCCACATCTCCAGCCCTATTTTGTATTTTATTTAGAGATGGGTTCTCACTGAGTTGCTTAACGTTTCACCATTGCTGAGGCTGGCTTTGAACTTTCAATCCTCCTGTTTCAGCCCCTCAAGCTGTTGGAATTACAGGCATGCACCACTGTGCCCAGCTAACTGAGCATTTTTAAAATACTTTTTCCTTCTTTATGAGTATATAATCTAAACCTTTTTAATTTGTGCTCCCAGTAGTTGATTTTGAATTTATAGCTTTAATGTATTGATGTAATATTATATGACTTCATGTATAGTATAAGAACCTTGCAATAGTAATCTTGTATTTCTCTTCTCCTGAACTTTGCCCATTGGTTGTTGTCTTATAGTTTACTTCTATATTTATTATAAGCCATAGCATATTATTGTTATTTTTTGACTTAAAAAATAAATTACTCTTAAAAGATATTTAAAAATAAGGAACAAAGTGTCTCATTTTGATATTATTGCCCATATTATTGTGATGAAGTAGAAAAATACCTTTTTTAAAATTGAAGAGGAATTCACAATACTTTCTTAATGCACACATTGCAGACTTAGTAGTCTTACTAATATCTATGGAGGAACAGTAGTACTTTATTTTGGTTTATAGAATTATTGAATTATAGAATTATTTTGGTTTATGGAATTATTGAATTATAATTTACATAAAAATTCACTAATTTGCCATAAGATCACGAATTAGAAATACAATATACATGTCAATAATTCTTAATAAATGTGTACAGTGCTATTATTACCATAATCCAATTTTAGAACTTTCTCATTTCCAAAATTTCTTTGCAGCCTGTTGGACCTTCTAAGAAAATGCCTGTCCTAGTTCACATTCCCCCCATCAGTCCACAAGGGCCCTGTTTCTTTTGTCATGTTTTATTTTTGGCTATTCTTGTTATTATGAAACAAACAGAAGAGAAGTACCTGATGCACAGCGAGCACTCGCTCCTCCAACTCGTGTTATATGCAGGGTGCGTGAGATGAGAGCAGGGGGAAGAGGCTCTATCTGAACCTCAAGCAGATGGTAATACTGCTTTGGGGTTTTTGGAAAGATGAGAACACTGCAGTCTCCTTTCCTTGTGGTGCTTCCGTGGGCCTGAATGGAAGTGAAGAAAGAAACAGGACACTGGCTGATTCAGGACATTAAAAAAAAAAAAAAAGCAGTATGAAATGACATCATGCATTTTCTTTCTTGGCTTTTTTTTTTTTTTTTTTTTTTAAATTCCTGGATGGCTTTCCTACTAAATTTGCAAAAGCAATTTTGTGATTTATTTGATTATATGAGTGAGTCTGAAAAAGAGAAAACATGCAATGCTGGTAACCACAGCACCTTCCTGCTCTCTGGTTGTACCAACCCATGGCATACATCTCAGGAGAACTGAGGTAGCATGAAGTGGTCTGAAGAACTCTGTGATAGCAGCTGGATTTGGTTTGAGGGATGGCTTCTTCAGGCACCTTAAGAAGTTACTCTAGCCAGGCTCAGTGGCGCATGTCTGTAATCCTAATGGTTTAGGAGGCTGAGGCAGAATGATTATAAATTCAATGGCAGCCTCAACATCTTAGTGAAGCCCTAAGCAACTCAGCGAGATCCTGTCTCAAAATAAATAAAGGGCTGAGGCTGTGGTTCAGAGGTTAAGTGTCCTGGGTTCAATCCCTGGTTACTCCCTCCCCCCAAAAGAAGTTACTCTATGTCATTGCTACTAAAGTTAGCTAGGACAAAATATTAGATGAACAGATGTTAGAAGAACAAATATAACACAGCAAAGGGAGGCAGTTAAAATTGGTTCATTAAAGGAAAACAGTAAAACAAACAAATGTTATGCCAAAATTCATTTAAGTTTTCTCTTTTGGACTCTAGAGCAAAGCAGGTTGGACAAGGCAGGTTGGTTTCCTTACCAGGTTGAAAGAACAAGTATTTGCGATGCAAAAACAGAGTGACAATGTCCTAGAATGTATGTGAGTTGCTTTTCAAAAAATTCACATCCCTTCTTAGCTGTTGGTTATTGCCTACAGTTGTTGGGGATGTCCTTCCTGGGGACAGTCCAGGGCAGCCTTGTTGAAATCCCTGTCTCCCTCTCACATACTCTGCCAGTACGGCAGAGGGGCAGTTGGACAATATGCTCTGTAACCCAGTGCAAATGACAACACACGACATGAAAAAAGATTATTTAGAATTCTGCTTGTCTGTTTTCTCCATGAAAGAAACTGGGCTTAGAGGTGGCTTCATCTTTTCCAATGACTGTGTGTGTGTGTGTGTGTGTCTGTATTTTAGACAGGTCTCACTATATTGCTGGCTTTGAAAGTGATCTTCCTGCCTTGGTCTTCCAAGTAGGTAGGAATATAGGCACATACCATCACCTATACCCAGCTTCAACAATTATATTTTAAAGACAAATCAATTCCCATTTATCTTGGTAAATTTGTATAGGCATTTAAAAGTTTATATCTCTTTAGTAATTTTAAGTCCATTGGATGTAGTAATTTGCAGAAATGTTTGTATGTGAGGAGAAAAGAGAGATCCAGGTGCTATGATTTGAATCAGTAAATCCCAGATACTCAGGAAATTTCAACCTAGGCCACACAGTCAGACCTCACCTTAATTTAAACAAAATAAAATGAAATAAAGCCAGTTTTAAAGTTCTAAGATAATTTAAAACTGTGTTTTATTGGCTTGCTGTCTTGAATATTAATTGCTTTTGCATTTCCAAGTGATCATTCAGGGGATTCATATTATTCCTGGTAGCTAATGGCATCTGGTTTGATTTCTATTTCTTCCATCAATATTCTTCCAGATAATATAAAGTTGAGAGCCTACAGGTGCCATGGAGTGCACATGTGTCAGGAGGAGTAGAAAAGTGTTGCAGTGAGTGAATTGTCTGGAAAGCTCATTACCTGATTAGACAGCTGTTTTTATTATTTATGCTCTCAGTTGAATGTTCATTAAAGGCAAAACATAAGAAGTCCTGGTATTGAAATATATGCTACAAAGTAATGGAAAAGGACTCATAATAATTCTCTTCAAGATAATCATTATTCTATGTTGCATTTATTCAAAGTTCTCATATAGGATAATAAGGAGTTCTAGTACTTCAAAATTCAATATTTTTAAAAAAATAGTATATAAATGCCATTATATTTATCTACTTTTCTCCATTTTTAGGAATGAAGAGTATCTATATTGAGGTAGTTTCATGTGCAGAAGATGTTTCCAGTTTCCAGTTAGCAGCCTGGAACTTTCTTTCTTTTTTTCCCCTGATATTTATTTATTTATTTTTAGTTGTGGTTGGACACAATACCTTTGTTTTATTTATTTATTTTTTTATGTAGTGCTAAGGATCAAACCCAGGGCCTTGCACGCACTAGGCGAGTGCTCTATTGCTGAGCCACAACCCCAGCCCCTGGAACTTTCTTTCTGATCTTGCTATTCAAAAATTTAACTCAAAAATTAAAACAGTAAACCAATTTTTAATATTCCAAAAGTTTACAAATTCCAGCTGGATGTGGTGGTACATCCCTTGTAATCCCAGGGCTTGGGAGGCTAAAGCAAGAGGATTGTGAGTTCAAAGCTAGCCTCATCAATGACAAGGCGCTAGGCAACTCAGTGAGACCCTGTCTCTAAATAAAATACAAAATAGAGCTAGGGATGTGGCTCAGTGTCAAGTGCCCCTGAGTTCAATCCCCAGTACCAAAAAAAGAAAAAAGAAAAGAAAGAAAAGAATAAGAAAAAAGTTTACAAATTCCAAATAGTTATGAAAATAGATATTGTCTATTTTTGATGGAATAATCGGCTGTTGATTTAGTTCCTCATTTTAGTATATGCTTGATTCCCAAACCAAACTCAACATGACATTTATAGTTTTGGTTTAAAGTTATAAATTTGTATATAATTAATTTAAAGAAAAATTAGGGCATGTCACTTTTTTTAAACTTTATTTTATTATTTATTTTATGTGGTGCTAAAGATCGAACCCAGTGCCTCACACGCTCTAGGCAAACGCTGAACCACTGAACCACAACCTCAGCCCATGTCATTTGTTAAATAAGAAAACATAGAGTTTTGCCTTAAAATAATTAAGAGAATTTTTCACAGTATTTAAAATGAATTTATATCATACTTGTTTATAAGATGTGGACCTAACATAAAGCTATTTTAAAATTAAAATTGTTGGGCTGGGGATGTGGCTCAAGCGGTAGCGCGATCGCCTGGCATGCATGCACCCGGGTTCGATCCTCAGCACCACATACAAAGATGGTGTGTCTACTGAAAACTAAAAAATAAATATTAAAAAAAAAGATTCTCTCTCTCTCTCTCTCTCTCTCTCTCTCTCTCTCTTTCTCTCCCCCCTCCCTCCTCTCTCTTTAAAAAAAAATTAGAATTGTTTTTCTATTATACACCATGCAAAAAAGATGACTTTTTATTCCTAAGAAATGAGAAAAATATGAGTAATGCATTAAATAAATTTTATAACTAAGAACATATGTATGTAAAGCTATATATATGTATATGACTACATATATGGGTCTAAAAAAGATACTTTCTACTGAAAGTCACTTTTGAATATACAGTCTGTTTGAAAAAGAGAAATAGAAGAGAAAGGGATAGAAAAATTCTTAGTTCATGTCACAAAACTACTGTCCCACACAGATCTGCTCTTGATGAGTCTTTGGGGTCCCATTCAGAAAATGTGCCTCTTCTCTAGGCATCCTCCTTCCCTTCCTCAAGAGCATACATGTCTCGAGCTGCCCACCTTGTTTTCTCCCCAGGACTAACTCCCATCCGAGAAGCTGAATTGGGGAGAGACTGAACCCTTTCAAGGGTCAAGAGAATGGCCCCCGTATCGGGTGGAATTCTTTCTTTTCCACGCTGGCTGCTTCTGTTCCACCAACTTCAGGAGGTTGAACCACATGGGCAAGCAGGCAGAATGTTCCAGAGTCAGGCAAGCGTAACTATGCCTTGCACATCTAGAGACCAAACAGTAGTCTGATCTACAGGCCAGGCTGTCAGTGTCGGCGTGGAAACTGTCAACATCTCTCACCATGCTCTCTTAACTCCCAGATTAACTTTATTTCCCCAGCCTCTGGGTCCTACACTTTGGGGGTTGACCTCTTGCTTCCATTTGCCTAGATTAGGTAGCTGCAGGTGGCTACTCTATCCCTTAACCCACATTTCTTTTTTAAAATTTTATTTCTAATTGACAAATAAAAAAATATATGTATATTTATAGGATACAATAATATATATAAATATATATATATATTTGTAGGAAACAATGTGATTTTTGATATATGTATACATTAAAGAATGATCAAATCAGCTAATTAACATATCTGCTTCTCATATACTTATCATTTCTTTGTGATGAGAACATTTAAAATCCACTTTTTAAAGTTTGAAATATGTATCACTATTGTCACCAAGCTGTGCAGTAGATCACTAGAACTTATTCCTCCTGACACTTTGTACCCCCTTCCCTTTCCCTGTCAACCTCAAACCCCAATCCCACTGTTCTAACAGCCTCTCTAACCCACAGATCTGTCAGGTGTTTGGTGCGAAAGAGGAAACAGGTGCCATTTGGATCTAGATTCTGCAGGATAGAGAACATCCATTTCTCTCTCTCTCTCTCTCTCTCTCTCTCTCTCTCTCTCTCTCTCTCTCTTTTAAACTGGGGTTGAACTCGGGTGGGCTTTACCACTGAGCTATATTTCCAGTCCATTTTAATTTTTTTATTTTGAGACAGGGTCTTGCTAAGTGGCTTAGGACCTTGCTAAATTGCCAAGGCTGGCCTCGAACTTGTGATTCTCTTGCCTCAGTCTCCCAAGTTGCTGGTATTACAGGTGTGCAACACTGTACCCAGTCTTCTCTGATTTCTTGAGAGAGCCTTCTCATGCCACTATTACCAAGCATGCCTCGACTTTTGCATGGCAGGTCATAAGATTTCTCTATGGGTACAGTGACCCTTAAGATGTTAATTTTTCAATAAGAAATATGAAAAGGTTACTCAAGCTCCTAAGGTCTTAGAAACATGCTTCTTTCAAAACTGAGCAGTGCTCTTTACAACCTTGCTAGAAGGTTCATCTCTTCTAATCACAACCTCA